ATGACACCTCTGCAACAAATCCAGTCGTGAAATTTCCTCGCTCCTAAATATTCAACTGTCAGCTGTATTATAAGAAAATGGAAGTGTTTGGGAATTACAGCAACTCAGCCATGAAGTGGTAGACCACGTAAACTGACGGAGCGGGGTGATGCTGAAGTGCATAGTGCGAAGAGGTCACCAACTTTCTGCAGAGTCGATCACTACAGACCTCCAAACGTTATGTGGCCTTCAGATTAGATCAGTAGCAGTGCGCAGAGAGCTTCATGGAATGGGTTTCCATGGTCGAGCAGCTGCATCCAAGCCATACATCACCAAGTGCAATGCAAAGTGTCGGATGCAGTGGTGTAAAACACGCCGCCACTGGACTCTAGAGCAGTGGAGGCGCGTTCTCTGGAGTGATGAATCATGCTTCTCCATCTGGCAACCTGATGGACGAGTCTGGGTTTGGCGGTTGCCAGAAGAACAGTACTTATATATACATACTTATATATGTATATATACATATATACATATAGTTAATAAAATACAATTTTGGGGTGTCGTTATTGATGCGAAGCTGACATGGAAATCATTTAAGAATAAAAATGGCAAAATCAATTGCATTACTGTATAAAGTAAAAGTTTTTGAATGACAAAGCTTTGTATATATTGTATAATGTAAAGATTGTTCCATACTTAATCTATTGTATTGAAGTTTAGGGAAAAGCATGCACAACAATTATAAACCCTGTTTTTATTTTACAAAACAACAGATATAAGAATTATTAGAAGTGCTATGGTCACCCAACAAATATATTATTTCATCTGTTGAAATTATAAAAAATGTATGATTTGATTGAATATAGTATTTTACAAGTCATGTATAAAGCTCATAAAAATATTACCCCCAAATATTCAATAAAAATTTGTAAAAAAAAAAAAAAAAAGAGTCATTATAACCTTAAGGGAATGGAAATGTTTGTAAAACCTCCATTTAGAACTGGTCTGAAGGAGCTGCATTGGAATTCAGGGAATAGGATTATGGAATTGTCTTGATATTACCATAAAAATGTCTAAAACTATATGTTTAAAAAGATGATTAAGTTAAAATTGTTAGGAAAGTATGATACCATGTGAAGAATGCCTGATGTTTTTGTTTTCGCTTTGGGTTTGTTCAAGCCTGATTTGTTTGTTTATTTTATTTTATTTTTAGATAAGGGTATAATAATATAATTAAATATTACAAGAATCATCTTCTTCTTTCTGAACCCTTTTCATTCAATGTTTTTTCTTTTTGATGAATTTGTTTTGTTTCTTTTAAATGAATGAGTAAATGAGTAAATAAATAAATAAATAAACAGTTACCAGAAACATTTGGTTGAAGTTGCGGGAGGGGGTATGTGTGTCACACCAGGTACTGAAAGCAAAGGTGCACATACTTTAACCACTCACAAATATGTAATATTGGATCATTTTCCTCAATACATAAATGACCAAGTATAATATTTTGTCTCATCTGTTTAACTGGGTTCTCTTTATCTACTTTTAGGACTTGTGTAAAAATCTGATGATGTTTTAGGTCATATTTATTCAGACATATAGAAATTTATGCGGAAATATAGAAAATTATGATGAGTTCACAAACTTTCAATCACCACTGTATATCAGGCATGCTGTAAACAGGCCTTCATAATAAAACCATAATAGTTAAAAGTGAACTTTGTTCAGGTCACTTCTTTGCTTTCAGCTCCAACCCTGTAGTCAGTTCTTTTATTTCAGTCAGGTGTCTTTTCTGACACCCCACCTCCATTTACCTTGGTTTTATACATTTATTATAAGGTTTAGTACTCACTAGCAGTATATTGTTGGTTTAAAGTCACACTTTTGTTCCTCTTGTGTTTTTCCTTTTCATTATACTCCTCAAGTATAATCCCTGTTTTGCAAGTAGTATTGCTGCGACACCAGCGTTTAGTTTTGTTGCCTTTTGATAACGAGGATTTAAATTCCCCAGGTCCGACACCATTCTGGGTCCAGTCCTGTGGCTCGTGACAGCTACGTTCTCTGCCAAGCACCAAGAGCTTCTGTATCACTTAGTAAATATCTGGCTTTAGGCTTTGTACAAGTCTAGTTTTGGGGCTAAGCCACATTCTCAGTCATGACTCAGGACAGAGCTAGGCAAAGACTTGTTGACCGATGCTTTCAGCTAAATGTTCTTAGTCTCTTCTACTCCTTCTTAGCAACAGATTCTGTTGTATGGACCTTGATCTGCATGTAAATGTTCACGTCAGCACCTTGGCATCAGAAGCATTTGTGTCATTGGGGGGACACACTGGTGGAGGGACATCTGGGGGCTTCTCCCCCAGAAAATTCTGAATAAAGTAAATGCCATTTCCTGCATTCTGGTGTATTTTAACAGTTTTTTAAATGACGTTTACCTACAAAAGTAAACACTTGATTCAGTAACTATTTTAGAGAGCTTGCACAAGAAGAAGTAGTCTGACCCGACAGTTTGCCTTGAGTGAATAAAATAGAGCACGCTCTGCTTCTCTCACTCATCCTAACCTGCCATCCCAGTCAACGACTGTCAGCACTATCGTAGTGCTAAGCTAACATGCAACACAGAGATGTCTCCCCCTCCTCCCCCCACCCTGTCAACAAAGTCCCCCAAAGTGATGAGTGCCCTGCTAAGGCAAGTGACCTCAAGGAAACACTGCATGTGGTGCGGTGAGTTGTTGCAGGAAAACCTGGAGTGGACTTTTAATGGTTTGTGTATTCTTCTATTAATCAAGTGGAATGGATTCGTTCACAAAGAAATAGAAACAGTGCTGGCTGAACTAATATTTCATGGTAAATTGTTTGTGTGTGTGTGTGTGTGTGTGTGGGGGGGGGGGTCCAAACCAAAAAAATTTAAACAAGAGGGGGACACTTCCATTTCACATATAATTGATGCAACACCTGTGCATCAGCAGGAACAACTGCTTTTGTTTTAGGACAGTTTGATGTTCTGAGAGCTGAAGACTCGCAGACTCAATACAAAAAGTATTTTGTTTACATAGACAAGTAGGATCTTGAGGAATCTGCAGAGAAAAAGATATGGTAAA